CAGTCAGCAGCAGTCATCTTTACTATGGACCACAGGAGATCAGAAAAATAACCTTGTTAACAAGAGACCTAGTGGCTAACAAAACGTCATGCTATGGGACACACGAGAGAGGCCAAACACAATCACCAGAACAAAACGGCAACGGAGGAGGAAAGGAAATGCCAGGGTGGTGTGCAGGGTGTTGCAGGAGATGCCCTAGAGCAAACCTGTGGGGGTGGTACCAACACAGCAGTGTGCAGCCCTGTGTGCGCGTGGGGCCGGCTGCATGGGTTCCTTGTGCCTTTAGAACAAGTCAGAGGGTCTTCAGCTCTTACCCGACTCCACTGTCTCTAGCACAATTATTACCTTTGTTTTCAGGAAAAAAACCCAACCTCTTTTGTTCCAAGAATGAGGTGCAAGAATGGTTTCTCCAGGTGAAGGAAGGCAGACAGGAGAACACCCCTCTCAGTGCTGTCCTTGTGACTCGTGCCCTCTTCTCACTGACACCCAACCCTCCCCAGCTCTGTGGCTTTTTTCCTCCAGTGAATCCCAAACAAGGCTTTTCAGAAAAAGAAGATAGGAAAAAAAAGTATTGCTGCTTCTTCTTGTAATATTTTTCCTCTCTCTCTCTCCCCCCCTTTCCCCTTAAAAATGTTTACTTTCAAAAATTCCATTCCTGCAGAGATTCCTCCCAAGCTCTGAGGTCTCCGCACTCCACCCTCCTCTTCTGCAGTCAGAAAAACTGAGTCTCGATGTCTCTTTGGTTAAAAAGAAATAAAAATAAAAAAGAACACAAACAAATAACACACAGCCCAGTATGATCCCATTCCACCCCGCGGATGCCTGATGAGAGGGTGTCTGTGCAAGAAGGAAGCATCAGAGACGAGCTGTCTGCTCTCTGGCCGCTGAGGGCCCCGCGCCGCCCGGCTGGCTCTCCTCTCATACGGTGGTGGCTGGCGCGTACTGGAGCACCAGAGGGGACGTCTCCTTGATCCGGACGTAGAACCGCCCCTCGGGCCGGGAAGTTTGGAGGGACAGAGGCAAGAAGTCATCGGGAAGCCACCGCTCGCTGTCGTCGGAGGCAAACACCAGTCCGAAGTGCTCCAGCTGCTCCTCGCCATAGCAGAAGGCGGCCGAGCCGCCCAGCACGCCGCGGGAGACGTCGTTCATCTCCAGCACCACCAGCTTCACCACCTCGCCGGCAGACGTCTGGCTGGTGACGTGCAGCTGCGGAGAGAGAAAGGTGGGAGAGATGGATGGTAAGGGGGAGGAACGAGGAGGGACCGGGGGCCAGGGGCAGCACACACTGCGTCCTAGAGTGATCATTAGGGTGGAGGAACAGCCCCCCGAAGATGCCCAGTGAGCGAGCAGCATCCCAGTGCAAAGCCACGGGTACGCCGGGCGTGCTGGGGCTCCAGCTCACACCCCTCTTCCCGGTGTCCCCTGCGCTGTGTCCTTACAGCTCTGCCCTTGCACCTG